TTCCAGAAAGGAAGGATCCAGGAGAATTAAATTCTTGAATTCTTCCTCCTGGCAATGCTTTCCCTCTCAACACTGAACCATCTTCACCCCCCGACACACACACACACACACACTTCTACACACAATTTATTTGTCTCTTTGCTTCTATCTGATATTTATCTTAAACTATTGTCATTTTTACCCCCATACTTGGTTCTTGCACCAGGAATTTCCCAAACCTTTTCCCATCTGCTTTTGAAAAGAATAAATGTTTCTGAATAAGTGATTTGGAAACATAATCATAATTAAGTCGCTTATATTGTAGAGCCATTTAAGTGTTTCTTTTTTAAAGAAGTGCTTGAAGAGAGTATTTGAAGATGCAGGAAATGAAAATGATAGGTTAGCTCTCAGAAGTAATGAAGCAAATGAAAACCGGTCCATTCTGGTTAAACTTCTTTTAGAAAGGAGCCATATTAACCTATTGGGCAGAGACTATACTTTTCCTGTGTTGTTAAAAGTTCTTGATTTGGTATTGAATCTAAGTGAAACCATTATTAAATTACAATAATTATAATATCAACTCTGGAAATTTAAGTGAACTTCATGTGAAATGATGGCAATGCATAATCTATCAAACTAGATAAGAGTAATGTATTATGGAGGTTGAAATTTTGTTTCATAAGTGCCCCTATTAAGTTTTTCCCCAAATGTAATGCAGTCATGATTCCAAAAAGTTCCCTTATATGGATATGTTTGTGTGTGTGTGTGTGTGTGTGTGTGTGTGTGTGTGTATACATGGTTCCGATAGTTAAGACATGCTTCAGTAACGGTACTCATAACGGGAGAAATGGTGATTGTAGGTATGACCAACGGTGACTATTTCTTTACTGGAATTTGGAGAAATGCATATGGAGTGTTTTGCTATTTGGAAATTTGGCTGCAAATATCAGAAATAAGAATATTCTTGTTACACGGGTCCACCTTTCTTGAAAACTTATTTCTTTCAAGATCTATTTATTTCCCTTCTGCCCTTTCAACAGTGATAAAACCTGTGCCTTCAGAAAGATCTTCATCAATAATAATTCCAAGTAACATTTAGCAATGAAATGATCTTTGTTAAATTTTGGAAACAAGGGCTAGAATCAGTATTCTGTAGAATTTGTAAAGATTTTTCCTGCGCTTTTCCAAATAATTCTTATTGTGACATAAATATATATTTTTTAATAAACTACATCATATAGAGGCTGAGTGTTCTGTTTTTCTTGTAATACTACTGGCTGCCTAAAATATCTTCCGTTAAGGAAGATATTGACTTGATTCTTCAAAAATATTAATTTTCCCTTGATTAGAAAAATAAAGTCTAGACTACCTGAATTTGAATCTCAGTTTTGCCACTTTTAAAGCATATGAGCTTTTTTTTTTTTTTTTTGAGAAAGATTAGCCCTGAGCTAACATCTGCACCAATCCTCCTCTTTTTTGCTGAGGAAGACTGGCCCTGAGCTAACATCCATGCCCATCTTCCTCTACTTTATATATAGGATGCCTGCCACAGCGTAGCTTGATAAGCAGTGCATATGTCAACACCCAGGACCTGAACCAGCGAATCCCAGGCCACGGCAGCAGACCATGTGAACTTAACCACTGCACCACTGGGCCAGCCCCTATACTATGTAATCTTGAACTAATTTCTTCACCTAAAAACTCAGCATGTTAATAGCTTATTTTTTTAAATGAGAATTAAAGGAATTAATACATGCAAAACATTAATACAGCACCTGGCCATTAGTAAGTACCTAAAAATTAGAACAATTATTATTAACATGAATTTTATAAATTTATGAATTAAATGAAATAATATCACGTATATATGTATATGAAATTATACAAGCATGCATACTTAGCATGGTGTATTGTAAGACAATAAATGGTAGCTAAAATTTTTAGGGTAAAAGATACTGGAAATATATAAAAAAGTGCAGAAGAAAGCAAAAGTTCCCAAAATCTTATTAACCAGTGACAAAAAGCCAATATTTCCTGTGTTTTGTTATGTATTATTAAATTCAAGGGAGCCTGCACTAGGTGACATCAAGATACACACGTTTTCAAAGTGAGGAAAATCTTTATTCAGAATTATTGACAGAGTACAAAGTAAATAAGAGCAGAAGTATGTAAGATTTGCTAACTGCTTGTTTAGTATTGTTGATCTCACAGTGGTGACACTTTTTTGAAATAGGAAAATGTAAGTTTAAAACAACTTCATCAGTTATAGTAACATTTTTGCAAATGGAAAACATACACATGCACACTGCATGAATTATTCAAGTACCATTTTGAAATCATCTGGAACTGCTACCTATCATCTGAATTCTTGTCCCAAAGTGTAGTCAATGGATCAGTGCCATCAGCATAACCTAAGCTTGTGATAAATACAGAAATACAGACTCTTGAGCCTTGCCCTAGACTCGTTGAACCAAAAACCTGTTTGATTAATGTGCGTATAAATATCGGGTAACTCATAGACACTTTAAACTTGAGAAACAATGTTTTACACCAAACCACACACACACACATACACACACACACAAAATACAGAAACAAAGCTGAGTGAGGTTGCAGGTATTGTAGCAGAATGATTCATCTAGGGAAAAAAATGCTGCTAATTAAATTAATAGAATCTTGCAGGTTATTGTTTTGTGTGAATAAAACCAAAGTATATGTCTTATAATAATAATGCTGGGACCTTGTTGTGCAAGCTTACTTTAGTGCTGTTTGATAGTTACTGGTTTCCCTTTTGGCTTGTTATTGATCAGATATGTAGATAGGAGACAAGTGATTTAAAAGTCTCTAAATATTTGACCCTGGCCTATACATATTCACAAATATTCATGCACATTCCAGTTGGAAAGAGAGATAATAGACAATTAAACAGTGAATTAAAAATATGAGTATAGGTTGGGATGAGAGGTGGGACGCTTTGGAGTATAAGGAAAAAACTTTGAGAAAGTGACTTTTGAATGGAGACGTGAGGCATGAAAAGGATCCAATTGCAGAGCATTCTAGGCTTGATTTCCTGAAAAGCAAAGTCTTTAGATGCTGAACATCATGGCTTATTAGTAGAAGAATGTGTGGGAGCCCAATGAAAATGAGGGAGTGCTGTATAGGGTAATATTTGAGAGGTAGACTGTAGCCAGTTCATGTCAGAGCTTGTAGGCCACAAAAAGATGACTAGAGTTTACTCCAAGTGCAATAGAAAGCCATTGAAGAATTTTAAGCATGGTGATAAAGTGAAGATTTACGCTTCTTTAAAAAGTTTACCCTTGCCAGGGCCCAGCCCCGTGGCCAAGTGGTTAAGTTCACAGGCTCTGCTTCAACAGCCCAGGTTTCGCTGGTTCAAATCCTGGGCACAGACGTGGCACTGCTCGTCAAGCCCTTCTGGGGTGGCATCCTACATGCCACAACTGGAAGGACCTACAACTGAAAATACACAATTATGTACTGGGGGGCTTTGGGAGGAAAAGGAAAAATAAAATCTTTAAAAAAAAAGATAGCAAAAACAGTTTATGCTTGCCAGAGTGTGAGCAATGGACTGTAGAAGGGGACACAAGTGGGATCCGTGAGTAGAAGGCTTTTGCTGTATCTAAGTGACAGACAATCGAGGCTTCCCCTAGTGAAAGGAGAGAGCTGTATGGATTCAAGCTGTATTTAGGGTACCTAATCATCACAGAAAAGGAAGTTATTAAGGAAGATTGCCCCATTTCTGGCTTGAATACAAAGCGGAGGTGTCAATTTCCTAGGAAGTAGGAGAAGACCTAAGTAGGTACGTGGGGAAAATCAAGAGTTCCAATTTGGATCAAGTTTGAAAGATAGTATAAATCTTGGAGATTAAGAGAATGGGCTCTGGGAAGTTTCACATTGATTCTATTGATTACAGTGGATCTTGAATAATTTACTTAAACGATGCTTCAGTTTTCTCATCTTTAAAAATAGGAAAGATACATATACCAACCTTACAAGGTGGTTGTAAATATGAAATTAGATAATTCCTATAAAATGATAAGAACAGATCCTGACACATTGTAAGCAGCAAAATAATAATTATCACTATGATTATTTGTCACAAAAGCAGCAGTGTCAAGCAGGAATTCTGGTATACAAGGGTGAGGTTTACTGGCAAGTGATTGCTGTTCTAATTATTTTAAGAAAGTATTTCACCTCATTACACTTGTTTTGAGTTAATGAAAACTATCCTAGAATAGCTTTTACTGTTTTTTGTCAACTTCTCTTTCTCTCTCCTTTATCCTTCCCTCTTTTAGTGGATTGAGAAAGGGAGTTAAGGTGGATTTGGGAGTAGGGTAAGAAGGAAGAGTCATCAGGACAATGGAAAAGTCTTATTCTAATTTTAAAAGAACGTTCCATTTCCCCTTTTCAACCTTACAATTACTCCAAAAGTAGATTCAAGCTTCTAATTGATTGTATTTAAATTTTCCTGCCTAAGTATATCATCATCATTTTCGATAATAGATTTTCAGATTTGTCTAATAATTATTAAATACTGAAACCACAAGGAATAATCTGTGACTTGCATGTTGATACATTGTCAAATGTTTAACCTTTGAAATGGCAGGTTTATTGACAGAGCAAAAATACTTTCTCCTTCAGGTCTGTTTTCTCCTTCTCTGCAAACAAAACACCATTTTGCCTTTTGGAGTTGAAGGTTGAAAATCTTCAGATATATTGTATTTAGACATGTTTCATTCATTCATCTATTTAATAAAAAAGACTAATTTAATGAGTGCCTGGGTTTTAGATACTTTGTCATGTTCTGAGAACTCCTAGATAAACATGACAATATACTTGATTTCAAGATGCAAAAACCCAAACACGAAGTGGGTTAATCTCAATTGTGTTCTTTAAATGCTTTTACAGAACATGTTAAGTAAATCTGAATTATTATTGGTGTGGTCATTAATATATGAAAATCCTCCTATAATTTTTTAATATACTTTTGTTGTTGTTGGCAGCCTTGATATAGGCTTTTGAGAAGAGGCTCAGAGCAGAACACTGACGGTGACCACCACCAGCATGAGGACTCCAAAAAGTCAAATCGGTAAGTGGAAAAAGGTGACTCATGGGTATGTTATCTATGTGTCATTAAATCTGTTGACATTGTTTTTTATGCCAAAACATAGTTTACAAACAAAAAAGAAGAGTGCAGCTCTGTCTGATGCCACAGTTTCTATTCTGGTATTTTTTCATAAAGCAACAAACATTTATTGGGTATCTAATAAATGCCAGGCTTCTTTTAGCTGAGATATCATTCTATTTCCAAAATGGCTATTACTTAGAATAAAAAACTGTATATTTATGCGAAGCCTTATAGTTTACAAACAATAAATGAATAAGTAATTTTGTTTAGTATTCACAAAATCTCTATAGAAAACAAGATAGGGATCATTAGTTATATGTTTACAGATGGAGCAATTGAGGTCCTGAGTGGTTAACTGGCTCACTGGATGTCATATAGCTCAGTGTCTGTCAGACTCTGTGGTTAAGGAGCAGTTTATTTATTTAATTTTTTGCTGAGAAAGATTGGCCCTGAGCTACATCTGTGCCGATCTTCCTCTATTTTATGCGTGATTGCCACCACAGCATGGCTGATGAGTGGTATAAGTCCATGCCCAGGATCCAAACCTGCAAACTCAGGCTGCCGAAGCAGAGCATGATGAACTTAACCATTAGGCCGCAGGACCAGCCCAGGATCAGTTTATTTTAAAACTGTTTTAATCCATTACAGACTGAATGTTTTTGTAGAATTACTAAAAGATCATTGTCAGAGAAAAGAAATGACTAAAAGGAAAACACAAAATACACAAGTCCACATTTTAATTATTATTTGTCATTATTCTAGAGATACAGAGTTACTCTGCCAAATGGCTATAAAAGTTCCTAATGTTTTCTCTCAATTTCTGTACTCCACATGGTGCAGACCAGTTAGCATCTGCAGACTGACGCTAGCCTGTAGACCAGACGGTAAGCCATATAGCACCAATAGAGCTAATATGAGGCAAATCTAACACTCGATCCTAGACCTTCTGTCTCCTAGCCCAGGTCTTTTCATATTGCCCCATACTGCCTCAACATACAGCAGGAAACCTGCTTTATGGTCTAGGGACAAAAATATCAGACTCCAAATTGTTCAAATGAAACAGGCACAAGAAAACTGACAATGATAAAACATCTTAAAAGAATGATATGAAACAATTGATGGAAAGAGTGAAAAAACAGTTGGAAGTTTATAGGAATGATTTCTTTTAAGTTTATTCATGTATATGATAGATTGTTGACAGAATTTCTCAAGATGTGTTTTTTTTTTCTCTTTTATTTTCATTTTGTACATTCCTCAAAAAGAGAAGTTATGTTGTATTTAGAAGGCTGGGCCTTGTCAGTTCCCAAGTGATATATAGACCTTTTATAATTCTAAGACGTAAAAGTGGATCTTGGCCAGCTGCGAAATGAAAATGAACTTATCTCCCCACTGTATTGAAAGCGCCTGAAAATAAATGTTACTTGTTCATTTCGAAGACTACCATGGAAAACTGCAACACTTTCGGTGCAAAGTAAAATGCATGCTGAGTCAGCCATCAAAATTGACTTTCTAAGATGGCTTTGTGGCATTCTCAGTTCTACTGAAAGGGATCCAAATATTTACATATACTATTTTATTAATAACTATTTTGTCATCTGTGTCAAAGTAATATTGCACAGATGTTCAGGAATAACTTGTGGTTGTGAGTAAATATTAGAGGAAGATTGAATTTTTCTCCAAATGATGCTGATGGAATGGTTTTTTGTCACAGTTTAAGATGTCAGAAATTCTTGTTGTTGCTGTTGATTTAAAGTTCTACCAGCTTAACAGCACTTGATGCAGCTTAAAATGGCTATAAGAGCATAGAGAAAGATGAAAATTTATTACAACATTCAAAACTGAGACTTTGAACCAATCTATTATTAGCTTCTTGGAAGACTCCGCATTGCTAAATTGAAATTCACAGTCTGAAGTAGAGCAAAACCACGGCCTTAAATAATAGAGAGAGACACTGTGCTCCTCACTGACTTTCTGCCCCCTGACTCAGAGATCCAAGATTTGTATGACTCAGAAAGTTAAGCAGTCATACCTGGGCACCTCTCTTCAATCAATACCTTTATGTTTATATTAGTTTGAGGATTCTCTCTCCTGCTCCCTCTGAAAGGGCAGAAAGGGAGGAAGGACTTAGAGAAATGCATCTCATCCAAGGAGAGAGAGATACAGACCCACAGGCACTGTAGGTGTGGCGATGATGGAAGTAGAGACAGTATCACTGTGTGTGTGTTTGTGTGTGTATAGTACTCCATCAGATCAGGATCAGAGGAGCACAGAATGGGGAGAAAAGATGATTCACTGACGTCCTAGTGGAGTTGTTTCAGATAAATGCCTGATATTCATTGGAATTTGGTCCCAAGGTTGTTCACAATCTACTCTTCAACTGTGAAGCTTAGATTCTGTTGTCTGCAGCCACAAAGGGCAAGGAATGACAGGTACCGCCAAGGCTACTTAGTTGTTTAAGCAATCAGAGTTTATTGATAAAGGGGAACAGAACAAGGAGCCGGGATAAAGGGGAACAGAACAAGGAGTGGGGAAGCAAACAACAAATTGGTACTTACAACATCCACATTGCAATCAGCCGGGGAAGTCCCAAAAGTTTTACGGCCGGCGGGAGTGCCAATTGTCTGGGTCTGAGGCAAAGTGTCCTCTCCTCAGGGAGACTCCCAATTGTTCTATGCTTGTGACTCCTTTTTAGTCTAAGATTATCTGGGTTCTGACGCAGGGTTTTAGGCAGTTGGATACTTTGAGTTATTTCTTCTTTTTCCCATGGATGGAATGTTTCTTTTTGTTCCCACGGATGGGATGTTTCTATAATCCAGTCAGGTGCCCATCAGGGTGGCCAGCCCAGACAAGGAACATGACGCAGGACATTTCCTTACTAACTTGTGCCTTGGGGTCAGGGCTGGAGTGGCCATCTCTGGCTCCAAGCCCAGACACATTCTTTCACATAGGCCCCAGATCCCAGTGTCCCTGGAAGGCGGGAAGGTCAATGAACTCTGCACAGATGCTTTCTGCTGAAAACCAAGTTATCAGTAGGACCAAGGGTTAAGAGTCAATCTTATGATTTGTCTCTTGAAAATCACTCCCCTTCATCAGATTTTATCACGTTCACAGATTAGTAAACAAACAATAGCAACACCCCTATCAAAGCCACACAAAATCTGGATAAGGATTACTTTGACATGGAAAATGAAAACCTCAGAGGTAAAGCATATATAGAAGAATGAGTTGATAGGGAAACCAAAAAAATATTTTAGAAATTGTTTGTCATCCTTACATATGCATTGATTGACTTAGAAATAAAAGCTGTAGAGAATGAAAAACTTGAAATGCAAAGGATTGAAAGGAAACAGAAATTTTTTTTAAAGATTGGCACCTGAACTAACATCTGTTGCCAATCTTATTTTTTTTTCCTTCTTTTTCTCCCCGAAGCCCCCCAGTATGTAGTTGTATATTGTAGTTGTGGTCCTTCTGGTTGTGAAAGGAAACAGAAAATATAACAGAAGAATTAAATCTGCCTTTGGAGGCAACAAATAATATAATTAGATTTGTGGAAATCAAACTGAAGAAGAACTCTTAGAATGAAGAGGACAAGCACAAACAATGTAAATGATGTGAGAAAAAAATGACCAATATGGACAACAGAAATAAAACATGTAGTTAATTGTTCATAAAAAAAGAGAAAAGAATAAATTAAAAAAGATGCTCTAATCAGAGTCACAAGGGAAAAATATCTTGCTCAAGAAAGAAATGGAAGGGGTTTTCACCACTCTAGAATTTATTCGCTAAGATCTGAGATTTTTTTTTACATTGCATGAGAATTTCTTATTATTTAAAAATTAGGAAAATCTAGTGATAAACCAAGACAAAAGATTATTTTGGATCTGATAGATATTTTGGGTTTCTTTTTAATGCTCCATGCTTCTAGGCTATAGAAGCTTGGTCTGTTGGGATTTTCTTGTGATCCTTAAACAATTTTGATAACTTTTGTTAACCTAGAAAATATTGATACTGAGTAACTGTCCATGTGTGAACATACATATAGAAAAAAAACACTTGAAGTCAATGCACCAGTGGAATAATTGTGACTTTTATTTTTCTACTTTAATCTCTTCTATTTTTTCTGACATAAAATAATAATTTATTATTGGTTAATTAAAGATTTCTATTGAAACATACTTCAGAACAGTGCACAAACCACAAGTGAACAGCTCAATAAATTATCACAAAGTCCACCAACCTGTGTAATAACTATTCAGATTAGGAAATTGAATATAACTAACATAATTGAAGATGCTCTTTTTTCTTTCTAAGTCATAAATCCCTATCCTCCATAAGATGACCACTTTCCTGAATTCAAATACTAAGGATTGTTTCATCTTTGTGTTTTATGTAAATGGAATAGTAGAGTTTCTACTTGTTTTGTTGTGTGGGCTCTTGTTCTGACTATTATATATGTGAGATTTCTATATGTAGCAGTAATGTAATTTTTGGTGCTGTATACTATTCCATCGTGGCCATATGGCTCTTACATTCTTATACATTTCTTTTGGGACATGCATGTGCACAGTTCTGTGGGATACGCAATTACTTATATGTGGTTAATGTGTTTATTTTTAATAAATAATGATACTTTCCCAAAATGGTTGTGCTAATTTACATTCCCATCTGCAGAGTATGAGTTTTAGTTGTTTCACATTTTTACCAACACTTGGCAATTATTAGGGATTTTTATTTAACAGCCTGGTAGCTGTGTTGTGATATTCTGTTGTAGTTTTAACTAATATTTCCATGATGACTGATAAAGGTGGTATTGCTACCCCACATCAACAATTCCCTAGATAGCCCCAAATTAAAAGATAAGTGAAAATTTAGAGGAGGTATTAAGAGAGGAAGTGGCTTTATTTACCTCCATTGAATGAATGTTCAGTCTAAAGGGATATAAAATTCCCCTTTACATAGGG